TTTCCTTCTTTAAATGGTTCCTGTTAGGGATTTTGTTCACAATGATGAAAACCCTAACACATACAGGCAAACCATAAAATCTTGCCATTCATGTATGAAAGAGATTTGATAACTGTTTCACTAAATTTGACAAAAAGCACCAAATTATCATTAATAGAACTTCAAACCTCAAAGACATATTTTAAACTACAATACTAAAGAATCAATTGCAACCACCATGTTAGAAGAAAAACTGAATTATCATTCTCTATATTCCACAAGGAAATACCATTACAGTATGATCATGAGGAAAATATGGTCAAAATCTATGTAGCCAGAAAGAATTATGAAATAAAACTTGTAGAATTCAGGTAGTTAGTCTCAATAAAACCGTAAACTAAGTATTACAATTTTCAGATTTTGCGATGCTGGTAGTTTTTTTCCTAATTCTAAATATGCATTTTCTTATCATATTTAACTTTCTAACTTTGTAGAAAGAAGATCACTGGCATTGAAGACCTCCAACCCCAAAAATTTGGGTCCGTCTCTGACACTCTTGTCCATTTAAGTATTTGAAGCATTTGTATTTTGCTCACTCAAATTGATTTTTGGACAGTGTTCATTTGGTTCATTTCGTTTGATGTATTTCTTTTGAATAGTATTCACAACACTGTATACATCTGCTTATATTCTTTATAGCAAAATGTGTTGGTAGAGCTCTTACGAAAGTCTGTGTCCCTCAGAGAAAGTTAAGCCGAGGGGTTGCGTTGAACCACAATGCAGGGCTCCAGCTACCACAGAACCACTGTTAGTTACTGAGAATAAATTTTTCTTTCTCCAAACAGGAGCACCTGAAAGATTCACCTTTGTTCTTATAAAGAAAGTCATATCAGAAAGACAGAGTTGTTGACCACCAGCCTTGGGACCTAAAGGTAGAGCAGGTAGCGAAAGGTGCTCGGATGTCTCTGTCTAACCGGATTCATTTTCTTCTTCCTCCTCCTCCTCCTGCTCCTTTCCCTTTTTGTTTTTAAGAGATGCTCATTTACTGCTAGTTTATTTATTTCTCATTTCTATTGGTGAACTATAGCTCTATATAATGGTGGAATTTGTTGTTACATATTGGTATGTGCAACAATGTAGCAAAATGTTCATTTTTAAAGCAATATTTTCTTTTAATTTTTAGTTTTATTTATTTTTTTAATTGACACAGTGTCTAGGTATAGGGAATAGTGTAAGGTTTCAAATACACCTATGCAATGTGTAATGATCATATTAGGGCAATTAGCATATCTACATAATGACATATTATAAATCTTCAGAGTTTTTTTGTAATATGTTACTGATAACTGTTGTCACCCTGCCATGAAATAGAAGAGAACTGCTCACTTCTCCTGTCTAACTAAATTTGTACCACGGGATCAACATCCTGCTTCCTGCTGCCACCTTGGCTTTCAGCCTACATGCGTGTCTCTCCAGGAGCCCCAGTGGTTGGGCTGTCTCTACAGATTGAACCTGCAACCTCTCCACTGTCAGGAGGAAGCCAAAGCAAAATTTCAAAGCTTTCACTGAACCATCTTGAGAGGGCTACCTCAGGATTCACTCGGCTCCAGCCTGCCCTTGTCTCTGCAGCCCACCCCTGCAACCAACAGGCCAGATCAGGGCAGCCTGTGTACCCCAGGGTTCTTCCCAGGCGTGTGCCTGTGAACCTGCAGCATTAGCTACAAAGATGTATGCTTCCTTTTGACTTCTGCAGTTTCTCTAGGGTAAATATAGGGACAAGGATGTAACAGCATAACCTACTCTGACTTAGAATACAGTTCTTTTTAACAACTCTTTCCCTAATATCTTTTTTTTATTTTTCAGGTTTGAACTTTCTTATAACTTTATATTTAATATACATTTCCTGTATACACATATAGCTGGATTTTTCTTTTTAATCCAGTGTTTACAATACATAATGTTTTGTATTTTTGCATTTGTGTCTATTGTCTTTACACTTATTTGATTGGATCCATACTAGTACTTATTTTCATGACATGTAGACTTTTTAATTGAACAATATTTTTGAGTGGTGCTGGGGGTCAAATGTAGGAGTTCACACATGCATGCCTAATGTTGGACATCCAGCTACGCCTATCATCCCCACTTTGGCTAATTTAATCAGCCAAACTTTCTCTTTAGCTCTGTAGTTGTTATTGCTATTGGAATTCTTACATAAAATGTATTGCTAAAGTAATGATGAAGAGGTTTGTGTTTAACTAGAAGTAAAGTAAACAAATACTAAGTGAAGAGATGGCATTAAATAGCCTTAAGATACTTAACCATTTATCTTTCAATGAACACGTAGAAAATAAAAAGTTAAAGCCAAGTCACGTCAAAATTAAAGTCCATTTCAAAAAAAATTCATTACTCTACAAATAAAGGCTTAAAATTATAAACATATTGCTATGCAATAGGCATGGAGAATGTGAACTTGGGTTTAGTTACAATACTGGCACTTGGTTAACATGTGAATTTTAGCAGATTTTTGAATTGCTTTGATCCTTTCTGTGTTGAAATGTAAAATATAAATAACTATACTTATGTAAAGGTTTGTTTAATAGCAAGTGACATTTTAATTCAAAAACTCAAAAGACTAAAAAGCTTGGGAACATGATGACAGTAAATTCAGATGTTTAGGATGGAAGGACATTGGGTAAGATTATGAATGTAAAGATGGTTAGTCACAGGAAAAATCATTGAAAAATGTTCCTGTCTATGACACTGTGATCATAGATCAGTTAGCTAAAGAAAGAAAAAGAGAAATCCTTACCAGTTTTAGTATTGTTAGAGATTTGTCTAAAATAATTATACACATTCCATTGTTAGTAATTTTTGAATATAGATAATACAATTTAGGGTTCCTTTAGTACTGATGGTTTTTAAATCTGTTTTATGTATAACAATTGAATCACTTTTTGAATATCTATTAAATAATTTAATTACTATTTCTAAAATTAATTTTATTACTTCTATCCCTAACAATATAATATACACTGCATATAATGTATATTAGTTGAACTTTATGATTTTATATTCAGTGTATCTATTAAATACCATGAAACTTTCAAATAAAAGCCAGTAGGCCTTGCAATCAAGTATGATGTAACTAGCCCATGAACAAATATATTTTTATCATCAATGGATAGGTTTTCATTACACACAATATATTTCATATTTTTCCCTTTTAAATTTGATTGTAGTACACTATTAATCATTTTTGTTCTTCAAAACTGAAGCCTTATTTGTGACAATTTCTTTCTGCAATATCCAAGAAAGCCACGAGAACTCTGTCACATAAATCAGCAATCTCAGCTGTGAAGAAGTATTATATATAGATTTGTTAAAATTTATTTGATGTACAGCAAGCAAGCTATTATTACACTATCAATTTATCTCACACTGACTTAGTATATTAGCTTAATTGTTATAGGTTTCTATTATTTTTCTGATGTTCTTAAGTTTCCCTGAAGTTTTTCTGATCTAAACAAACTCCATTCAGCTCGTTCAAGCTGAAGGACAAAGGGTCATGGAGAATGAACTCAATTGGAAAAAAAATCAAACTGACTTTAGTTTCAGCTAATATAATGTGGCATAGAGCTGGCATTTAATTCCCATTTGTTTACGAATACCAGACAATATGGAGCTTCTGAAACCTCAGGAGGGACTCCTCTTAGAGAAGGGAAATATATTAAAACAAAAGTAAAAGTCTCTTTTATCCTTTTCCATTTTTTTTACTCAAATGGTGACATTCCAAACTCATTTTACCTAACTCAGATTTTCAGAGTTGGAAAATAAAGTAGAAGGCAAATATTTGAGAAAATAGATAACCAAGATTAGTTAAGGATTGTCTAAATGGGTACTGTTGTACTAATACATGGTATTAGATGCATTTGGCAATTATAATACTCATCTTCATTTTAGAAACAAAGCTGCTATTTCCTGCAACAAATGTGAAATGGTACTTACAGAAATTAGTTGGGACTAGAAGAGAGGTGGGATGAAGCCCACAAATTGGCATTAGATAGCTCTTTCACTTCTCTGCAGGCTGTCCAGAAGTGATTAGCCACTGAAGATAAGGAGGAATAAAACTACTGTCATCTGTGAGCAGCCTTGGATGACTTCTCTGCAGCTTCACAGCTTACTTCAAGTAAGTGTTTTTAAAACGGAAGTTTGAAAAGTTCATGCAATTACACAGATAGAACTTTTAGCTTCAAAATTTCTAGGTTGGAAAATAGGTTAAAGCCCTGTGATGGGGGGGGGGGGGACATTTCCCAGGGCACTGAAATGTTTCTGAGATCACTTATAAAGCACTCTATCTCCTAGTCTTTTATACTTCAATTTGTCTATGACAATGTCTGCGAAGTTTTTTCTTTATGACTAGCACACTGATAGATCATAGGATTTATTCCCAACTTGTAAAGTTAAAATTTAAAAAGAAAAGCTCTTCAGCTTGTTAAGAAAATAAAGCATATCTGCATTGTCATGTCCTATAATCAATCTCTTTCTCTCTCTCTTTATTTATTTTTTATTTTTTTGGTAATAAGGCAGAGTTATTTTAAATAATTAATTTTTTTAGAAATGATTTTTCTTTAAATTTATTTTTCAAATATTTTATTCTTGGTGACTTCATTCAAAGCTTCCTTTAATCAATAATTATTTTTTACTCTGTCGCTCAAAAGGGTTGTAGTAATTTGAAACCTAATCAAAGTTTCAGGAATATAAAATATATTAAAATAATTTTAAATTTTGCTTATGCCATTTGAATACAATAAATCATAAAGAATGCCTTTGTATTACCAAAACTTCTGATGCTATGATACAGAAAATGTACCCAATTGATGAGTTCCATTCATTCCATAAAATAAATCATCTATGAAAAGGCACACAATATTGGTTTTAAACGTGTGATAGACATCATAATTCTTTAAGGGTTCCTCTCTTTATTTTCCATTTTAAATAATTATCTCTTACATCTATGCTACATTTTAAATTGCAAGCATGTTTTCAAATTTAGTTCCAATAGCCACACTTTATTATGATCATTATTTTCCCCATTTTGTGAGAAAAATGATGAGACTGAGTCTCTATCAAAACAACTGGCTTAACCCAGACAGCATTGGAACAGGTGGTAATTTCTTCTTTAAAAATGCAGTTCCATTTATTTTCCTGGGACCAAAAATTTGGAATTTAAGTCAAAGGAATTGCACTATCTTTCTGAAAACAGACATTTGGCAGATACCTGAGTATAAACAGCAAAGTATACTCCAAAATCTACTTTGGTTATTACTTTATGGCACTGTGGAATAACCTTCCTGATCACTCCTGAGGTAGCCTTTAAAGCTTGATTTTATTTCATTATTTGCAACTTTGAAGGGTGGAGATTTTTTTAAATTTTGAAACAATCTTGAAAATTGCTCAGGGCCTGTCTAAATTTCTGAGACTGGGCCTTGAATCTGCAATTTTCCTGTCTCAGTTTCCCAAGTTGCTGGGATTATAAGCATCTGCCACCACACTAATTGAGGATCTTGATGTGTTTTTATGTCAGCAGATGATCCTCAATTAAAATCATATCTAGCTTTTAAAGGGTATCAATTAAATGAATTTTCAAAGGAAACTAATTTATGATCTCATTCATTTTTTTAAAAATAAAATTTCCCTAATGCATATTCAAAGATATTCTTCCTTCCCATATACCAATGCATACCATTGAGTAAGAAAAGTGGTACAGCTTTCATTCAAAAACCAGACCCAGGACCATGAGTATTTACTGCTTTTATGTTTTTGAAAATGAAACTCAATACTGTGTTCTCAGCCACAAAAAAAGATTAAAAAAAAAAAAGCTATGGATAGAAGAGGCTTTAGACAACTGCACATGAGTTTCTATGATGCTCCTGCTATAAATTCAACACCTTTCCACTGAGTCTTGAAAAAGGACAAAATTCGAGGCTGTGAGAACAAACTAAAATCACAAAACAAATGCTCAGTAATTAGTTTATTATCTATTGTCATTTATTATAAATATTCATAGTGGAAAGAATGCTCCAGACGTGTCTACATCCACCCTTAACACCTTATCATTAACATTGCTCTATATTTGATTTATGATTTATTTTATTCATCTCTCCATCCATTCATCCAATCTATGCTTTTTCTGGTGCATTTCAAAAGAAGTTGAAGATACTTTTCCCTTCAGATTCCAGAGTGTGCATCATTGAAAAGCTTTTGATATTTTTTAGTTTTCTCTTTTTGGTTGTAAACGTATACAACACTACATCCTCTGGGTTTTAGCACACACTTTCATAATGTAAACCCCAATGATATGTGGAGCATCATCAGGTAGTGAGAATAATCACTTATTGTCCCTTCCTTTGCAATCTCTGCTACCCAGAAGAGCATTCCAAACTCATTTTATCTAACTCAGATTTTCAGAGTTGGAAAATAAAGTAGAAAGGCAAATATATATATTCCGGCTATGTATCAATTAATCTATTCAAGAAATTTATGAATACAAGATCAAGCAGTTTATATATTTGTAAACATGTGTCTTTCACTTTGTGGACTATTTTTAAAAATTCTTCCATCTTCCATTTTGGCGGACTGTGGGAGCCATTTTACTTACTGCTGATTAAAAAAATATATGTATATCACTGTGTAAATATAACACTCTGTTAGTTCTCCCTCTGTGGATCGTGGTTGTTTCTCGTTCTTGGCTATTAGAGAAGGAGGTGCTATATTCTTGCACAGCTTTTTGTGGCATTGGCTTTCATTTCTCTTGAGTATATGCCTAGGGTTAGAACTGCTGAGTCCTAGGGAATGCATATGTAGAGTTTTATTAAAAACTCAAAATTTTTTCCCAAAGTAGCTTTGGATTTAACTTTGCAATTACATCAAAGTGTGTGGACGTTTTGGTTGCTGTAAGTATTTGCAAAACTTCCTTTTGTCAATCTCTTTTTATTTCAGCCATTCTGGTGAATGTTTCAATGTAGTTCCTTTTTTTTAAACTGTTGACACTTAAGATGCGTCTGGTCAAATCTTTTCCCCTTTTTATTATTGAGTTTTTTAATGTTTTAATTATGTATTTTTGTGAGTACTACTTATTTTATTTTATTGTTTTGCAATGCCAAGGATTGATCCTAGAGCTTGCATAGACTGGGCAAAACCACTTTACCACTGAGCAATAACCAAGAATTGTGAATATTTTTAAATCAACTGCAGCTTCACCATTTTTTTGTTCTATTAGCAAAAATTTTAATTTTCACAAAGTCTAATTGCCTTTTTTCTATTCTGTGACTGGGCTAAGAAATGCTGACCAACCCTTCCAAGTTAAAAAAATACAGTCTTAAGTTTTTCTTTTTAATTTTTGGGGTTTATCTATCCATCTATTTCTATCTCAATTAAGATTGTAGAATGTATAATAGGTATCAAGTTTATTATTACTGTTACTATTTTCATGCATAGCACAGGTAACTTCTGTATCATTTGTTGGAAAGGTTTTAATTGCTCTGCCTCAAATGAAAATCAGATAACCCCATGAATCGGATCTATTCCTGAATTGTTTTTTTTTTCCTATGTCTAGATGGATTCCTCTGCAAAAACCATATTCTCCAGATCACTGCAGCTTTATGTCGAGAAGTGAAAACAGCAAATCAAAGTCCTCTAAGTTTATTTCTTTCAATTTTGCTTTGAATTTCTATGACCTTGCATCTTAAAATCAGACTGTCATTTGCTATTAAAAATTACCAAGATTTTGATTAGGCATTAGATTAAATTCGTAGATCAATTTGGGAGGGATTACTGACTTAAAATGTGGAGTCTTACAATCTACAATGATGGGTTTTTGCACTATTTATACAGATCTTCATTTATTTCAGAAATGTTTTGTAAATTTAGTATAGAAATCTTGGCACATGATTTCTTATTTTTATGTTCTTTATATTTTTGTATAGAATACAAATAGAATTTGTTAAATTTCACTAAAGTTTTTTGTTAATAATATATAAAAATGTGATAGATTTCTATATAATTCATCTTCTGTCCTGAGATCAATCTTTACTAGTCATTTCCAATAATGTGCTAGAGATTCCTTAAGACTTTACGCTTTTTCAGTAAATTTGCTTTTTTCCTTTTTTACCTTGGTGCTTTTATTTCTATTTCATGCCTTTTTCTATGTCTGCTCTCCATAGCATTGATAAGTGGGGGCTTTATTCTTGTTCTCAGCTTGGGAAAAAGTGACCAAATATTCCACATTAAGTGTGGTACTAACTGAAAATTTTTCATGAATTATTTTTTATTAAGTTGAGGAAAATTCTCATATTACTAAATTAATGCAAGTTTTAATTTTGAGTCTAAAATTTTGTTGAATCCTCCTTTGCATTTATTAACCTTAATTTGTACATTTCTTCTTCATTTTATTAATACATCAATTCATCCTGGAAACAGCTCAATCTTGACGTCTTGTGATACACCTACCAACTATTATGCATTGTCCTTTTTACATATTGCTGACTTGACTTTCCCAAATGTTGTCAATTAATTTTTCATCGTGGTTCATGGAGGCATCATATGCCTTGGGTATGATTTTATTCCATATGTTTATGATTTGGGACAGGTTCTCTCATTTTTGTGCTTTGTGAAAGATTTGTATAACATTCATGCTACTTCATTAAGTGCCTGAGAGAATTCACCATCAGGTTTTGATATCATCAGGTTTGAAAGGTTTACGATAATAGACTAAATTTATTTATTAGCTATAACATTATTCAGATTTTGTCTTTTTTTGTTTCCTGTCAGTTTTGGTAAGTTGTATTTTTTAAGGAATTTGTCTCTTTAATCTACATGTTGAAGTTGCTGACAGAAAGTTGTTCATGATGTTGACTTATTATTCTAAATGTCTGGATTGTGTTGGTGATTTGTCTTCATCCTTTCTCATTTTTTGATTTGTCAAGTTAGTGGTTTATAAATTTTGTCAATTTTTAACAGTCAAATAAATTTTTCCTTATTGAATTATTCTATATTAGTGGTTCATTTCCTATTTTATTGTTTTTTTGCCTTTATCTTTATGTGGAATTAATTTGCTGTTGCTACTAAGGATATATTCTGTAAATATCAAGCAGGTCAAGTTGTCTAATATTACATCATCCATGTCTTAATGATATTCTGCTTGATTATTTTTTAAATCAAGCATTATTTTTCTGGAATATGTGGCATGTCCCTAATTATTTTTATGTACTATAACTGGATTATATCCTGGAAATTGTGCAGATGATGTTTCTCTAAAAAATTGTTGATCTTTTTACCAGGGATTTAACCCAGGGGCACTCGACTACTGAGCCACATCCCCAGCCCTGTTTTGTATTTTATTAGAGACAGGGTCTCACTGCGTTGTTTAGTGCCTCGCCATTGCTGAGGCTGGTTATGAACTTGTGTTCCTCCTGCCTCAGCCTCCTGAGCAAATGGGATTACAGGCGTGTGCCATGGTGCCTGGCTCAAAAATTGTTGATTTGTTGTGGTTGTTGCCTGTTTTAGCAAACATCTGTTTTTGTCACATAGGCAACTACTCAAATCCTAGGCTCATTCTCTCTGTGACTGAAATCTCTCCCTTACACACATGGTTCCCAAGAAAGTTAGAGACACCTCATAGCTTGTGGACAGAACGAGGAACTCCTTCATTTGGCTGCCCCTCTTCCTGATCCCCTGGTCATTGTGTAACAGAAGTGCTGTCTGCTGCCCCAGCTGCCCTCCATGTCCTCAGGCTGGAAGCCCTGAGTTCTGTGTTCATTGTCCCAGCCGTCCTTTCTGTGCCCAGTCCTCCACAGAACTTAAAGACACCACGCAGCAAGCCTACCCCAGCACTGCCTTCCTTCAGGGTTTGACTTCCCTCACCATTAGCTGCCCGGCATTCAGACCGCAGTGCTAGTCTTGTCTAGCGGGTCGGCGTGAGGACAGGTCTGCCCCTGTCGCTCCACCATTCCAGGGGAGGAACCCCCCAAATTCTAACAGTTCAAAACAGTTACATAAAGTGGCTCCTTCCACTGATACCTGGAAGTTTGGTTTTACTTGGAGGAAAAGACAAAATACACGGGAAACTTATTCTTCATAAAAACTTTGACAGTCAACCCTTTCAGGTATCAAAAGGACAATAGAGGCTGACTATCAATTAATAGTTCTCTTTCACATTTCCTGTATTTAGTTTTTCTTAATTTTCATTTTATTTTTGATATAATATTACATATATTTTTTTTTCCAGAACAGGAATAGGCAAACTGTGGTCTTGAGATTAAAGCACACCCACAAAATGTTTTTATAAAAAAAAGTTTAGCTTGAACACAGCTGCAATTATTTATTTATGTATTGCCCATGGGTACCTTTCTTCTATATTAGCAGAGTTGGGTAGTTCAGACAGACTATAGATCTTTCAAAATTTTAAATGTACTTTTCATGGGCTGGGGAAATGGCTTAGTGGTTGAGTGTCCCTGGGTTCAATGCCCAGAACACCTCTCTCTCTCCACCCCCCGCTGCAAGAAGCCAAAAATATTTACTCTTTCTATAAACTTGATGGGATGTAGGTTCACTGTGCACTGGCAGCCACTTCAACTCACAGCATCTTGGGCTACGCTGTTACCACTTGCCCAATCACATGAACATGCACATCACAGGATGCAGGCTATGACTTCCAGATACACAGCACAGGACAGCAGAAGCCCAGGGCTTGTAACAAACCCAAACCTCAAGGCTCAGGAAAGCTGCTAAGGATGGATGGGGTCCCTTCTGGGTGGTCCCCACAATACCACAGCTGAAGGAACCCACAAAGCAGCACTCCCTGGGTGTTATACCCCAGGGCTGCACGCTTGCTCGGTTGAAGCACAGAAGAACATCTATGTCCAGAAGGAGAAGGAATCCAGCTCAGGCTACATTCACCAGTTTCTCCTTATTTCAAAGTGCTGCATTCCCAGCACATGCTACAGCATTCTGGGGAGCTAATGTCCTTCTTGGTATAGAGAAGGCGTGTGCTAGAGGTGATGCTGAATGCAGTGTAATCTTCCTAAGTGATTTTTTTTTTTCCTGAGAGTCCAGAGCATTTACAAATTTCTGCATCCCATAGGTGGGTAGCAGCTTCTGTCTAGTTAGATAGCAACCCTCTAAAAATAACATTACTAATCTCTCCCTTAGAAATTAATTGTGATTCAGAAGATGGTATGATTTTATCATAATTATTGTCCTATTTTACTGTAATTATTTCTAGTTTTCATACAATAGTATTAATAATACCTCCAGCTGTCATAATATTATGTGTATGATAGCCAATTCAAAATGTAATATTTAAGAAGTTGTAACTTACTTTCTTGGTGGTTTGAAGACTCAGAAATGATGTCACCAGGGCTCTGGTCCCAATAGTTAGTCCTTTAGGCTTATACTTACTCTGTGTCCTATTTGGCTGTTATTTAAATATAATACATTTAAAAATCACAGCACCTTTTGGTGTAAGGAATGTCATAATGACTTATTCCTAATAATAAATTATAAAACAATCGATGGCAATCTTTTTCTCAGACCAAGTTTCTCTTCAATGCTCATTAGCCATTGTCCCATAGATGTTCTCTGGTGTACTGCTTATTGCTCTTCTTTCTGGTGGCTTTGGCATTGGGATGAGCTGTGGATTTAGAAAGTCCAAAGAAAAATAAGAGTAGAATGAGAGAAGAAAACTTGTATTAATTGTTCATCATCTTATAGTGAATTAAGTCAACTAAGGAGCAGAAAAAAATTCTTTGAAAAATGTTCTAGAAGATAAAATATCCTAAAGACGCAGTAAAGGTTGGGGCGTGGTCCTTGGACTTTCAGGTTGGATAGAAAATATGCTGACTGTAATGTTGTAGTTCACCGTATTTGAAACTCAGCACAAACAGTTTTTCTTTTAGGCTTTTCATTACATTTGTCTATCTTCCTGTTGGCAGGAAGTCAGAATGAGGTAATCTATTTACTTAATATTCCTATTATTTAGATTTTATTCCAATTTATAACCTTTAATCTTAAAATACATGTGATATTAGCATTTATACAGTTACATGGCAGCATATCCATTTCTTCCAATCAATTTCCTTTCTGAAATATATTGAATAGACTCTTACTGGGTCAGTCTTAAGGAAAAAATCACAGAAGACAAAAAATTCTTTTCATCTGCCTGGGTCCACATCTGGCCTTAATCTTTTTGTTCATTTTTTGACACAAATATCTAGAACAAAATTTTATTTTCCTCAGAGCAAAGAAACACTTGCTGTAGCTTTCATGTTTAACAACTCAACAACCTTTTGCTCAAGATTAAATACTTTATTGTGTCTACAGGCAGTTGCATATTTATTACTCCTGAGGCAGTGGTATTTGAAATAAATGGAACTGAATGACTCTGTGAAATAGTTTCTGAAATCCATATATCTCGAGTTTTCTATCTGAAAGGAAAAGAAAATATGCCAACTCTCGACTAGAAAAGACCAGGCCAAGTGAGACACACCAAGGCTCAGAAAGGGAAGTGCACATTGCACTGAGGCTCAGTATTTTTTTTTTTGTCTATTTGTCTGAATTCTTGAAATAGTAGGATGGGATTGTGTGTATGTGTGTGTGTGTGTTTTGCATTTCTTGAAACAGAAAAAAAAAACTATTCCCTTGAAATTTTTCCTTGTTCGTGTATAATATTTACACATTTATCAAGTGTATTAGGCATTCCTTGTTGTTGTGTGACCCTTTACCAAAATAATTTGGATGCTAAACACATGTTATAGGTAATAACAGTTATATTCAATATGCATATAGCATGTATATAAACATAATCACGTATGGATATATGTATACATGAGCATGTGTTGGTGTATATGTGCATGTGTATATATATGTGCATGTGTATATATATGTGCATGTGTATATATATATATATATATATATATATATATATATATGTTTGTGTGTGTGTGTGTGTATACATATATATGCTGTATTGGTGTGTGTGTGTTTGACCCATCCACACTATTAATGTCTAACCTTGCTTCAACCATTCAGGCCTCCACAATGTTCAGGGACACCCCAGAACACCTTCTCTCTTACTCTTCTCTGTCCCTTGAATTTTCCACCAAAATATATCTGTGTGATTTATCCCCTCTTTCAGAAAGTCTGTGTTATAAATTCCGTCATCAGAAAGCTGACCTATGACTCACACCCTCATTCCGCATGGGCTGCCTTCCTTCATTAGTTTTCATAGCCTGATCTCCTCCCACGGTGTCCTTTCCTGGAGTGTTACCTGGTGAGAGAAGGGCCACTTCTAGGCTTCCAATCACATGAGGGCCAAAGAGCGTGGATTTCTTGAAGTTCAGTAGATACTACTTCTTGATTATTGAACCTCAAACACCCTGAAATTATCTAATTTCACATTTTACTAAATCCATATCTCTAAAAAGAAATTAAATGACAATAATTAGAAAAAAAATAAAGTTCTTCAATGTAAAATAATTGTCTTCAAAAAAAGCTTTCTAAGAAAAAAAAATTTAAATGAAGCTTCACCATATGTGTATCGTAACAACTTATGAATCAGACAGTAACTTGTGGTAGCAATACTTATCGATACAGTGTGCTAATATTCCTTCTGAGACTGAGTTCACAAAACATGTTCAATAAAATCATAGTTGAATAAAAATGTCACAAATCTGTAGTGTATATGTAAATGAATATAACAAATGGATACATGTCCATGCTTTAGTGCTCAAAAGAATAAATTGCATTATCTGTGAATTTCATGCTTACAAAGATGTTAATTTCTTAATGACAGAAATAATTCAATTATATTCTGTCTGTTACTGCACTAAATTTCTAGGGCAAATACTTTCTTATGTTCAATTTCCTCACCCATCATCTTTATTCCTATGATGAATTTTCTCATTCTCTCGGTTATTCTGCCTCCTCATTGCCAACAGTGTTAGAAGGACATTTTTTTAAAAAAAATGCGTCCCAAACTGAAGCCATTCACAGAGCCAAGTTCCTGCCACAGTTACGATGCTCCGTTGCTTGATTATAAAGGTAGAGCTCAGAACCCTTTTTTCCTGACCTGAACTCAGAGTTGCCCCCTCAGATTCAATGACCTCTGCCTTCTCATCGTCACCCAAACTCACTGCACTGCACTTTGTTATCCTCATTGCAGTCTTCATCTTTCTAAATCTCAGTGGTTTCTCTTAGTTATATTTATCTCTTTGTTTTGAGATTGATTTACAAATATTATAATTATGACAACATACTAGAAGAAATCGCTAGTGAGTTTGTAAATATTTTAACAGAATCCCATCTCATGGTATGGTGCATGTGAGTGTGTATGTGTGCACCCATTGCTACAGTATTAATAATCATTGCTATGAGTGTTTAAGTCTGGATTTGTCTTATATTCACAAAGCAAATTTTGTTTTTTCATAAATAAGTGATTTTTTGCATCAGCATTTAACTGTGCCATATATTTTAAATTTTTACTGAACAGTGTTTTTACAGGAATTAATTTTCCATGTGTATGAGGCCTGTATACAGGCAGAAAGAATGCCACAGCACCTAAGGAGAGAGAACTACTTTGAAGTCTGTTATGCCTGAGTTTGAATTTAAAATCTCCCATTTATATTCTGTCTTTCATTAACTTAGAAATCTATTCTAAGATTCCACTACATTCCAGTAAAACATAGATTTTATAGTACTTTATTGATGAGATAAATGTTAAATACATAGTAAATTTGAAGTTTTAACATAATAAGAATTAATAAATGCTAATTTGGTGTATTATTATTATAATTTTAGCTATATCTCTGTGTTTCCTGATGTTAACAGCTGTCTTATCATCCTATGAAATATCCTTGAACTATAGGTATAAGTTTGTCATTTGGTATCAAATCCATAGTGTAAAACAAGAAGTCCATATCTTCCCTCCTAACTACTTAGCCAGCTGCTCATTTCTTATGACCACCTTCTTATTTCTAAGTCTTAACCTGCTTACCAGCAGCACTGACTGAATCCCTAAGATGCTTGATTTAGAACTCAGATTCCTAAAATATTTATTTTTCCACATCAGAATTTTCAGTGGCACTTCACAGGATTTCTGTCAGAGGTAAAAAAGAAGGTAGTGGACTGGGGATTTAGCTCAGTTGGTAAAGTGCTTGCCTCACATGCTCGAGGTCCTGGGTTCAATCCCCAGCACCACCAAAAAAGAAAAAAAAAAGGAAAAGGAGGTAGAAGGAGAGGAAGTAATAAAGAGAAGAAGGAAGAAATAGAGAGGAAGGAAAGAAAGATGAAAATAAAGATGAAAAGAAGGCAACAAACCTACATATTGCCTGTACGTATTATGCAATTATTCATCTGCACCATGGATGGTATTTTCCAAGCACTTGCATATAAGCCTCTTTATTTTGAAAAATATGATTATTTGTTCATTATCAACTATCAATTCACTAAGCAATTTTAGAATATTTGAATTTTTCATCCATGAGTGAAATTCCCAATCATATATATTAAAAGGAAGTGTTTTTTGAATAATAATTTGAATATACTTTATAATTCATCTTTTAGAACTTCTGTCCCTACACATATACTGTTTATCTAAATATATTGATATTACATAATAAATAATCTAAGACATAGAGATCTTCTACTATTTTTTTTATTATTTCTTCTATAAGTATACTTATAGAAGAGAAAGTAGTCAATGAAAATGGAGAATGAACACTGCACCAGAGCAGTTCCTTGTTTAAACTTTGTATAAGCCCCCATTATTACCTTAATAACAAAATAAACTTTATTAATGGGGTGTGAAGTTTGCTCTTTTACTCACATGGTAAATGCTCTTGAAAGTCACCTGACCTCCAATCTATAAATACCTCCTATATCTCAACCCATTATGGCTGTTTGAGGATTTTAGTTTTTGTTGTGATTATAGTTTGTTTATTTGTTCTTTCTATCTTTCTTTCTTTCTTTTTAAATTTTCTAGCTTCCAATTGTAGTAAATGTTATGATGCATTCTCCAGACCCTCAGAATAAAAGGATTTTTTTCTTTCAACTACTATGAGCACTGCTAGAAGACAGCTCACAACTGTCCTGGTTGTGGGGCTATCTCCATTGTGGGGTGTGGCGGGGGGAGCCATATCCTTTAAAGTCACTCTTCCATGCTGACTGATCTTCATTGGAGTATAAAGGCCGGGCTTCTTTTCCCTGAAAAGTATCATCTTCTCACAGAGTTGGCTGAGCATCCTTGAGACTGCATCCCAGCTCACCTTCTCCTCTGTGATGCCTCTTCCTTTAATTTGTATACACAGGTATCTATCCCAAGAATTCTCCCTAATAAGCCTCCATACATGCCATGTTAGAGTTGGCAGTTCACCGGATGCAACCTGTCAAAGCTGGTGCAAGGAATCTGAGCACACACATGCAAGGAGGGGTTTTAGAGCTGGATCATCCATTATCAGCTGGCAGCATGTACACCATCACCAATGCTTAGAGAACAAAGAAACCCCTGGCATAAGTCACACTGTTGACATTCTCACTCATGGCAGTAAACTGGAGTGGAATCCATGTGATTAGCTGTCACATATGCCTGATATTTGAACAATGTGGAGAAAAGACTTCTATAGAAATAGTGGAGTTCTGTACCTATTACTAAACTCCATTCAAATTCTAAGAGTTATGAAAATCTGAGATTGTTCAATAAGAAACTAAAAGCCAACTACAATAACCAGAGTACTTTTTGGTAATATATAAAGAATATCTCAATCTTTTTATCCAAAAGGGTAGGGAAAGTGGATGTTCAGGTCCAAGAATTAATTTTAAGAACAGGAAAACTTTAAAGAGTTTTGAATTCTCAGACTGAGAGATCTGCTTTACCAACACCAGAACTTTGCTTGAAATGGAGACACATAAGTGCACATGAAAATCCTGCCTCCTTAGGTTACCCAGAATCTTCTGTGGCTGTGGAAGAACTCACTGATTCAACTTATCATGAACTGGCATTTCCTTGTCTCCTAGACAGTGTATAAGCCTCCTCCACTAGACAATGTACACCTTTTTTGGGGTGTGTCTCTACTTTCCCTTAAGTTTATCTATAACATAATCTGGCAAGGTTCCACACTAGATCTGACAGAAACCACCATGTGCTATACTTCAAATGAGCTCTAGGAACAACTCAGTACATGCAAACACATTTGGAAATCTATGCATGGATCAGATTCTAGAATGTTTGACCGATTAAAGGAGTGTAATTGATTTGAGATCACTCTCTGAGAATACATGATTTAACAATTAGCCATCCTACAAGGGATGGTGGGAACATGCTTCTAGGATGGTTCCTACAGCATAGAAAAATACTACATGAAGGACTTAGAATACCAAAATTTGCATGGCAGACAGGTATAAAAGGATTAAGAGACTCAAAGGCATAATCATGGTTGGAGGACTATTTAATAAGGCTGGAAAAAACAATCAGAGAACGATGCTCTGGAGAACTCAGAGGACACATCATACCACACCAAATCAATAAAGAATCTGCTAGTGAGAAGAGCACTAACTTCTCCAAGAAGTTCATGGTTGCTTCACTTGCTAGACCAGGGATGGCAAAGATGTCTTTATAAAACTGGTCTCATGGATACTAATGGGGATGAGAGAACTCTAAGACCACATAAGACAAGTGACAGTGCTTAACTGTTAAAAATAAGAACACCCAATTATCATAAGTACTGATAAGATCAGTTGTGGGCCAGGGAAAGCTGATTTTAGCATCTGATCTTATCAGGTCTCTCCAGGTTCTGGTCAGCATATTCCACACCACACCTGTGAGTTTTCCCCTGGCCTACATACTAGAAGACACAAAAGGCTTCCAATTTTTTTTGGGGGGGGGGGTTGGGGGCTGGTGGTGTACCAGGGATTGAACTCAGGGACACTTGGCCATGAAATCACATCCCCATCCCCAGCCCTATTTTGTATTTTATTTAGAAACAGGGTCCCACTGAGTTGCTTAGCACTTTGCTTTTGCTGAGGCTGGCTTTGAACTACCAATCCTCCTTCCTGACAAAACCTCCAGAGTTGCTGGGATCACAGGCTTGCGCCACTGCTCCTGGCTGGTTTCCAGGTTTTAGTGAGTCTCTAGGAGGAAGACTGCAGTATGTTCACATTGTTCTTCCAGCAGCACTGCCCCTTGTGCCTTGTGCCTCAGTAGACACTGTGATGGCAGAAACACTAATGATGCAGAAAGACCCACGTTTCTCAGAAGTTCACTGGAAAAATCTGAAACAGGTATCTGAATTTCTGGGGCAAAGCTATGTCATCTCTAGCACACTACATACCGTTAAAAAAATGATGCTGATGTGTTTTGAAGTCCTAAGAAATGACTGCTAAAACCACGATAAAACCCTACCTATAACTATCAGGGCAAAGCCAAAGATATAATGATGGACCTTACTAAAGGCATAGCTCTCAGATCCTCTGTGTTCTCTCTCTCTCTCTCTCTCTCCCCCCCCCTCTCTCTCTCTCACTCACCATTTCTCCCCTGTGCACTGGTTGAGGGACCCCATACCTTCAGATCTCCCCTCAGCACCCACCACACCACTAAACTCATGAGAATCTGTCAATCATAAGTGTCTTTTGTTTCATAAATTTTAGTTTCACCCTTGTTGTGTCTCCCGGATTGACAATTCTCAATCTAACTCCCTCTCCTCTCTCCTATGCAGAAGGATAGTGGTTATCTTGGATTATGGGTTTTTATAACTCAAGACCAAATTGGAGACCATAACGACAAGCATCAGAACACAGACCAGGAAGCATCAGGAAATTATATAAATGGTTGTCCCAGAACCCCATGGCATTGCTGTGCCAAAGTTTATTCTTCAGCTGCTTCTAATGTCTAAGAAAGAGATATCTTTTGACAACATGCAATGAAAGAATGATTTACAGACAGGTTGCCTAAAAAGGGATAGTGAGTACATTACAGCCCTACTCAGGGGTGGCTTTGAAATGCCACGATAAAGATAAAAATTTCTAGTGGGCAGATTGATCACCGGGTGACCCACTGATTTTATAACATTCTATCCCACCCAGAATCTGCTGGTCTGACTGAAGGAGTTTGCCGTTTTCTCAGATATTGTACATGTTAACACAATGACCTTAAAATGACAGGAGGATCCTAATAGGTAGAAACTTTAATTCTAGAAACCACTTGGGGGAAAGATGGGTAGCACTGTTTCCCAGTGACACATTTAGGAAATTCATGATTCCTACAATTTACAATGTATTAAAAAAAAAGAAGAAGAAGCATCCCAAGATTCTGCATTTGTTCAGAATGATCAAGGGTTCCTCTGTTCAGAGGCTGGGAAGGAGATATGTTGAATTTTTAGGAATCCTCCAGAAGAAAAGTGAAAGTAAAACTGTGAGAAAGAGCCCATAATGAGTAGATCTTTGGTCTACTTGATAGTAACTACCAGGGACCCTCCATGATAAAGAGTTATCCAAAAGATCAGGTACATGGAATGACTTGGTCCTTTTTTTGACATCAGCTGTTCTTGCTGCCATCGGTCAGGTTAGTGATGGCTTGATGGATGCATGGACTGTGAAACCATGGTGACAAGAACAGAAGCTTCATGTGGATCCAAGACCATGGGTTCATACTTATTCACGATGCTTCCACAAGCCCAAACTCCAGGAAAGGACGAAGGCTGAGTCACTGCCACATCCTTAGCCGTCATGTAGACCAACAGGCCAACTTGTGACAAGCTGACTATATGGAAACCCTTCACCATGGAAGGAAGAACAATATTTTGAAAGTAATATTCTGGATATAGATTTGCCTTTCTTTTGCAAAGTTTGGATCAGTCTTACTATGGGGGCTCACAGTGTTTGATGTCTAAGCATGGATACCACTTAATATAACATAAGGAAAAACGACTCTATTTTTAGCCAAGAATATATGCAAATAGATTGATCACCAGGTGACCACTGATTTTATAACATTCTATCCCACCCAGAATATTTGCCTGATTGAAAGGAGTTTGGCATTTTCTTAGAGATTGATCATGTTAACACAATGACCTTAAAATGACAGGAAGATCCTACTAGGTAGAATCTATAATTCTAGAAACCACTTGGGCGAAAGATGGGTAGCACTGTTTCCCAGTGACCCATTTAGGGAATTTATAATTCCTCTTCCTTTAGTTCTGGAGTATGCAAGTCTAGAGATTTTTAGTTTCCCCAGGGGGAAATGCTTTCACTAGAGAAATAGCAAGAGTTTTATTAAAATAAAAACTACAGCTCCTACTGCAGGGCTTCAGATTCCTCATGCTAAGCGTCCATTTAGTTTTCATTGGGGCAGAAAGAAATGACTTTTCTGTCATTCAGAGGAATTAAGATTCTTATTGTTTAAGTCAGCTTTTTTGCTTCTGGGACTAAAGGACCCAACTGGCACCATTAAAGAAGAAGGATAGTTTATTTGAGGACTTACAGTTCCAGAGGTCTTAGTCCATAGAAGGCTGGCTTTCCCCCACACTCAAGGTGAGACAGAGTATCATGGCAGTAGAGAGTGGCAGAGGGTAGCAACTCACATCAAGGTGCTCAGGAAGCAGAAAGAGAAACTCTACTTGCCAGATACAAATATATACCCAAAGCCACACCCTAATTCTGACCTCCTCCAGCCATACCCTACCACTTCAGTTACCTCTCAGTTAATCCCTATCAGGGGATTAAAACACTGATTAGGTTAAGACTCTTACAACCCAATCATTTTTCCTCTGAACCTTCTTGCCTTGTCTCACACATGAGCTTTTGGGGGACACCTCACATCCAAACCATAACACCTATTATATAATTGGCGCATGGACAGATTTGCTTACCATGGAAGCAATACATTGGCCCATCCTTTGGTACTCCCTTGCCTCATTTTGAAATAAATAAGCAGAAGGTACAGCCACAGACTGAGACATGTGCAAAGAATAGGAGTTCTGATTCCTCAGAGATGGGTGTCTGTGTCACACGAACAGCAAGCCACCCAGACCAACAGCCACTCCTTCTGATGAGAGAAGCATAGCACAGATTGCAGAGAACAGTGATGTTGGGGATGAGCTAGCTTCACACCTGAAACAGAGAACAGGGAAGAAGCAGTCAGTTGTCCCCCTAACCTAAATTTCATCCAGGGAAAAAAGTCCTGGAAACTCTGACTAGAGTTCTAGAAAAACTACTGTCATATACACATCAATACGCCAAAGCTTCTCAAGGCTTCCTGGGACTACTTGCAATTAGTTATTGATTGACAGGTCCAGATTTTTTTTTCTTCTTCCTTTTGGCCCATTTGGGAAAACTTGGAAAGCTAACCTAAATTTAAAACTCCCCATACTGAGGTCATGTTACTAACCAGCTCCACTTCTTCCTCTGCCCAATTCTACATTCTTTGCACAGGTACTGAGCACAAAACAAGTCTCTAGTAGAATTCCTGCACATATAATATATCTCCCCTTCTGCTAACCAGGAACCCGCCCTGCAACTTGCCCCCAAATCCATCCTTTGCTCGTGGATGCCTTAAAATCCAACTGCCAATGTGGTTTTTCACGATCTATAAGCAGAATATACAAAATATGGCTTTCTTCATTTTCTTTTAAGTATAATTAATGTGCTTCAATTGGAGGTCAAACAAAATGTCAAAGCAAGAACTTTCATTTCCAGTCAAAAGCCATTCATATTTTTGGTTTTTACTCATTATGAGTTGAACACGAATTCTATATTCCTTCCTTCTCTCCCTTTCTATGTTGATTCCAACTTCTCGGATTAATATGAGATCTGGGTGGTCCTGCGCTAATGACTCTCAGACTGCATAGCCATTCCCTTGACTTGTCTTCTCTACTTGTTAGCTGTTGACATTCTTCAGTTGAGGAGGGGATGGGTGTGGGCCATGTCCAGGAAACCATCACATCATTATCCATCCTCCTGCTCATATGGCTCACTTCAGTGTCTGAGGCTACAATCACCTTATTTCAATCATGGGACCCCTCTAGGCAGCCAGCTTCTTCCTCCTGCTCTGGTTTTAGTCCTTTCCAGGGGCACAGGATATACCTATCCCTCCCTATGTCTTATACAGGCTCTGGAGGCTCAGGCTGTCTTGATGCCCTCCCTGAGCCTGATCTAGATGCAACCCCTCTTTTGTCCTGCTGCCTCCTGTCTAAGGAGCCGAGCATGCTTATGATGACAGTCACTGTGTCAGAGCTCCAGTTCCAAAGGGGAGCATTAGTGATAGATGCTCAAAGATTCTTAACAGTTAAGAGGTGCTCTGTGTCTGGGGATGTATCTCAGTGGAATGGACTTGCCCAGTATGTGACAGGACTTGGATTTGATCCTCAGCACCTGAAACAAAAAAAAAAAAGTGCTCTAATATTCCTCTAGTATGGCCACTAAGATGTAGAAGGAGCAGGACCTGACATAAAGGCACCAAACATGTCAGTTGTTATTGTCCCCAGCACACAGAAGTTTGATCAATTTTCAAATATAAAACTTATCTCATATCTTCAAGCATCCTTTCTCAAATGTATTATTTAAGCAAAAATGCCCACTGGCATTCAAACATGAAATTTTTTTTTCTTACAACTTATTGTTTCTGTACTGGACTTCAAAAAATCAGATTTGGAAATGTACAAGTTCGGATTCTCAGCATACAAGTTCCTCTAGGTCCCTTGTTTCTGTCCCTCAAAAGAAAAGCAGCCTAGGTGTGCCCTTGTGGGTTGTCACCCCACCTTCATCTCCCTGGTCGACCAGAAGGCGGTCTTCTATGGCCCACTTTCACTGGCCACCATCTCCTCTAGTTTCCAGGTCTGAGGCAGCAGAAGGGAGAGGAACAGAGTGGGCTCGGGGTAATTCTTCCCCACCAGCACTTGCCCTGCAGGCTGGCTGTAACCAGTCACTGCTTCTCTCAAGGCCACAAGCACCCCAGAGTTCCTCTCTTTTAGTTCCCAGGAATTGCATTTTGGGAGAGCTTTTGACTTGATTTGCTGAACCTAGGGTCTCTGCATTATCCCTCAGTATTCCCTCATACCAACCCCTTTGTAAATAACAAGATCTTAAACTCATTCTTAAGTATCATTCATATTACAGCCACATGTTTCTGATTTAATCATATGATTTCATATTACATATGAAAATGTGATACTATTACATTCCAGATAGGTGGACACAGACACTGATTATAGTTATTATATTTCACACTATGCTTTCCGTTCTCTAATGTTCCTTGACTCCACTCATGATTTCCTGGCTTATTTTTCTTGCTCAGAGTATGGCCCCTCCTCGCAGGAGTGCTACATCATCAGGGAAAAGCATCTGCCCTCAGGCCATTTTATAGACATAGCTTTTTTTCAGCAGAGATACCTGTGGAACCAGCGTGATCTTGCTTTGCTCACACAGCACTGGATTATCTCAGATCCCACTAGAGCATCCCATCACTGATTCACATAAGCTGCTTCCTCATCTTACAAATTCTTTCAAGACAGCAGTTTCCTTTTAATACTCTTGATTCTGTCACACAGAATACTGGGACTTTCCTTATTTCTTCCTAAACTTATTGGGACCTTGGGTCACTGACTTGACCTGCCCTTTCTTCTTCCAAGAAACTAAGCATGCATATCCTTTAATTGGTTCTCTATCAGGTCTGTCCATCTCCCTTGGGCTTGTCACAGGGGAATAATGTTCTCAATTTCCCTACATTGTCAATGCTGCCTGGACTTCATTGATCTTGGGAAAGGTTGTGTTTCTCTATGAGTAATGGTAAAGAAGTATCTTTGTGCAGTTGCCTTAAAATTATGCCTATTCTTAAAGATGACCTTTTCCCCATGCTGCTTTTGAAATTTACACACAATCCCAGATGACTCACTCAGAGAAACCCTGAAGCTGGAGAAGCAACATCACATTTTCCTCTCCAAGATGCACCCTCTTCTCAGAATATTCTCTCTCAGACCCCTCCCCAGGGAGGAAGATTTCATAGAAAATATCTTATTATGGATACAGTCCTTTTCCACTGGACTTTCTGTGCCATTCTGGAGATAATGCAATTCCTTAGGAGGATTTTACTTACCTGTTTGCCATAGGAAAGTTGGTTATGCATTAATCCTGCATAAAATACTGCATGGCTTGCTCATGGCCCAAGGAAAACAAATACATATAAAGTGTAGATATGTTTTATATTATATAAAATGTCTGATCTAGAAACATTGCATGGTCTGGCTCCCGAGACGTTCTCCAACTTGTGTGCTGTACTACAGTCGGAACGCCTGAAATTTGGTTTCTTGGAAATATTATTCTCCCTTCTGCCTAATGTCCATGCACATGGGATTTCTCTACATTCCCCTTTTCATACAGGGTTATTGATTTTAATTTTACCTCAGCATCAAGCTCAGTTTCCTGGGGCTGCTTGCAGTGACCTCCCAACTCAAGAAGGTTCCTTTATTGCGTCCTTCTCTATCATTCATAGAGACATAGTCTTCATTTTATACTTAACAATAGTCATAACATTTGTTCCATAGGTATTTCAGTTTGATAATACTGCATCTTTAGAAGGAATCTTACTAGGGCTGGGGTGCATTTCAGTTGTAAATGCTTGCCTAGCATACAGGAAGCCCTGGGTTAGATGTCCAGTAACACACACACACACACACACACACATATACACACAAATCCAATTGGATTGCCCTAAATCAATAATTAGGTTGCTTTTATTTTTACTACTAGATTATTAGCTTGGCTAAAACAAAACCCTTGCCAAAGGTCACATGTATATCCCATTCTTGGTGTTTCTATAGCCTCACTGAGGGCCTGAAGCATGGCAGATTTCAGCACACACTGCAGCTGATGGATGGTTTGTCAATCTCCTCTCACACCCTCTTCTTTTGAACTAAGATTCAGTCCACATTTATCTTGTATTTCTTCTAGAACACCTATACTTTCTTTCCTCTGCATATTATTATTATCTTTCTTTTCACCTTTATTGCTCAATCCCACCTGTTTCTTCAATCAGAGCTTAAGTGATGCTTTCTCATAGTGATATTCTTGGACCAACACTTTTATGTTTCCATTTTACACACATTTCACTCATAACAAGTGTTTGTTTAGTTATCTCCTTTCCTCACTAAACTGTAAGAATCATAAGGCCAGAAAGATTCTATTTTGCACATGACTGAATGCCCAACACTTAGCATGAAGCCTGGCACTTCACAAGTGCTTGATCTTCATTTGCTACTTATTAAGTTGCAGAGATCCCTAAATTAAGATGTTATAGAAGAGTTTTCCATGATATACTTGAGCTGTGTCATCAAAGAAATAGCATTTTTGTTAACACAGTTACTCTAATGCTATTTTCTAAATTAATACAGAGACAAGTGTCTTGTCCAGAAAGGTCGAAAGCATTGCCCAAAAATATCTGAAGAATCATTCCCTATACATATTTATTTCCAAATTTCTAGCCATATACTATCTCTATATTATAGGCCAATCATTTCTATTATACATTTATTGTGCAACTTCCATGTAGCACACATATTTCAAGGTTGTATGTCAGATAAAAAGAAATATAAGACATGTTCAAGGACTTCGAAATGCTATAGCTATGTTGAAGAAATCATGCCAAATTTTATTACATTATCACAACCAAAAATTTCATGTAAAAATAAATGAAACTCAGTACTATGTATAAATACAATGCACTGAAAGTTAAAAATAAATAAAGAGCAAATGGTGTGGTGTTAAAATGTAGGAGTTTAAAAAACAGAGTGATCACTAGAGGTCAGAAGAGACAAAACAAATCGAACACCTTAAAGGAACAGGGATTTGAGCTTGTTTCTTAAAACTTGAAAAGCATCTGATAGAAAGGAAAAGGAGGATATTATGCCTGGATACTTCCTACATAATTATTGTAACCATTGCAAACCCTGAGTCAAGGAAAAACAAATCATCTTTACCATCCGCAGTCATAGATATTCAGTCATTCCCAGGGAGGTGGCTTCGCTTCTTAAAATCCCCCCCACCCCGCCCCGCTCTTTGCATTAACATTTCAGGTATTGCTTTAAAAAAAAATAATAAGAATAAATCAGGAAAAATAAACTTCATTGAGATTGATTGAATCCTATTTGTGTCTCCTATAGCCAGAATAGAGTACATTATGTATTGATCTCTTACCCACATACTTCTACTTTACTATTACTAAATAAATTTTGATTTATAAAGAATGACCCATAGAATCAAATGTCATCTCATATTCAATAGAGTGCTAATTCCTGTTACTCAAATGGTCTCCTTCTTATCCAAGAAATGTAATGCATGTGTTGCTTATTATAGAATTTCAATAAAGTATTGATGCACTAATACTTTATCCACTTACAGGATATGAGGTCAAAGGTTCAAGAAGAAGTACAGGCTATTCAAAGCTTCATCAAAGGAAGATAATGAAAATGCAGGGGCTCTGGATGGAAGGAAGAAGAAAAGCTCTGCCGAAATACTTTCTGTGGATTTTGCTCTAACAAGGTTTGTACAGTACTGAACTGAACTCTGTGACGTGGGAGGCTGAAGTAAAATTTGTAACATTTCATTAAAAGAGTCCTGTTAAAATTTTTAATGTAATTATGTGTTTATATAGCATATTATTAATTTGTTATTTTATTCAGTATTTTATGGTTTTGGTATACAATGCATAATCTAATATCTGCTTTTTATAGCAATTGCTAATTAACTGATTTACTCTATGTTGGGTGAGAAGAATCTTTAATTAGAGTGAGACAGAGTCCTTTCACCCAAATATCTATGCATAACATTAGCTGAGAGTTGTAAATTGTTATGAAAACTGCTAAAGAATGTACTGAAGATGACTGTATCCACTGTTTGAAATGAAAAGGACACACATTTCTAAACATATTTATAAAAATGAAACAGCTATGTAGTGAGTGGGTTTTGGTTCTATGTTCAGTGTTCCTCCTTTGTAGTCTGGAATAATTTATTTTTACAAATTGCTTTGATGCTTCTGTTTGAAGGTTTTGAGGTGCTTTCACCAAGATTCAGTGTGGTTCTTGTAATTTGCTGTGGGGACCAGCATCTATCTCCCTCTGGGAGGTGGGGGGGGGTCTTAGATTTTGTTTATGCACTGATCAAGGCACAGCCTTTAAAACTCCACATTTTAATCAGTTGTCTTCTACACATGGCTTTGCTTCCCTCTGATACATTCTATAAAATTCTAGCTTCCCGTGTCACTATTTAATGGTGAAACTGTATCTCTTAACCTGTCTCTAACCGGAACATTCTGAATCATGGTGATTGACGGAATTCTATCTGCTCGTTGCATTTTTACTTCCAAAACTTGCTTCTTGATTTTTATGGGGGTGAGAGCAATATTTTTAATACATTTGGCTGGAAGCAAGTTCTGTTTAACATAAGAGCTGAAAATAACGACCCTATTCCTACCTAGCTCTACAGCATGTCCATTCTAATAAATAACCCTTCATCAATAATGATGCCTGTGGATCTAATTGTTTGATCATGCCATGATCACTTTGACTAGCCTTTCATGCACATTATTTCACTTGGTCCTTATCTAATGTGTTAGAAAAAGAAAAAAAAAATACACATATACAAATATGTTTTTTTGATAGATTTGCCTCTGTCTCTATAAAATTATACCTTAAATTAAAGTGTCCTGGGATTATGGTCTGAAAGGGGAAATGAAATAGCTAGATATAAGAATAGAGTCATTTATGTACTTTTAAGTGTTTAAGTATTGTTGAAGAGTAGAGTTTTGATTTGCAAAGACAAATCCTTTTGAGAGAGAAAAGTTTTAGAATACAGAAAACCTGTTCTTGCATATCAAAAGCAAAACCCCAAAGGAAACACGACTTAAGGTTTTGGCCGTTTAAAAACATTGTTTTTTTTTTTTTTTTTTTTTCTTCCCTATTTTATGGGAGGTGGGAAAGGAAGCCAGTCTCCCACTTCATCCAACAGAACTAGAAAAAATTACTGAATACATTGCCAATAGGAGGAGATGTTTCAATCAATGTCTTCTCAAGCAGTAGGAAGCAGTAAAATTCCAGACATGGTTGCTTTGAGTAAGGAATTGAGAATACTAGCTCTCACTTGCCATGAGACTCTGAAAATGATGAGCCTTGTTGCAAAATCTCTTGTAAGCATCCTGTGGTGGGTAATGTAGTTGAAACAATGCCAGAAAAAAAAAGGCAGAGAAGGCATGTAAAGTCTCCCAGTCTGTTTGGCTCAATAAAGGCTAAGGAGAATATTCAAATGAGAAGGGGACTGTCATCAAAAGTAGGGAATCTTTTAGAGTTCAAGGTGCATGATTAATAAGCCAGCATGAACCAACAGTGCAAGAGCAAGAGGGGGAGAAAGCTAGTAGAACCAGTAGGAAATCAGAGAGTGCATACAATAAGGAGCAGAGGTGACACAGACTATGGATACCTCATTAGGAGACCAGACGGATGCATTTCGCACAGAACATCATTGTCCAGTTAATAGCTACACATATTTAAAAACTGCTATGTCCCAGGGATGACTGGGAAACACAGGAGAGACAGAGCGGAGAGAGAAAACACTGTAAAAAAAAAGTTAAAACAACTAATTTCTGGTATTAATTTTTAGCCAACCACTGAATGATGACAAGGAAGAATTTGTGATAGAAAAATAAAGTCTTACCTTTTTTTGACTGTCGTTCTGGATCGAAAATGAATTCTACAAGCTGCACCATAAGCTAAACAGGTTCAGAAGCATTGCTCCTACTCTTTAGATGAAGAAATCTGTTGGTCTCCTGGAAGTCTCAAAGCATCTACAGCGTGGTGCTAGAACAAGAACTCTCATGTTGTTACTGTCCTAGGCCAGAGGACTGATTCTGGTAGTCCCCACCAAGCAGGTCCAGCCACCAAGCAGAAAAGAAAATGTTGAAAAGCAGGAAAGGGAACATAGTGAGTATGGCCATGGTGGGTGTTGGCATGTTGACAGGAGTTTCAGGTTTACGTAGAGAAGAACTGGGGAAGGGGCCTGAGGCTCAACTTAGTGGTCCTGGTCCAACTGTGGTCTGGCTAATCATTCTCTCGGTTCTGCTTCTGCTAGATGGCAGGAAAAAGGGATAAAGATCCCTTTGAGGGGAAAAGCTCTATTTGTTGCTCTGGATGTTTATCTCTCCGAGTTTGGATCCTGGAGGGGAGGGATGACTGGAGAGTCTAGACCCCACTGCAGGACACCGAAACAGAACCCTGCGGTCCTTGCCTCAGTCTTCAAGGGGGATGGGACGGGCCAGGTAAATTTAGGGATAATTAACCGCATATTACTAGTTTTTAGATAGACACTCCTTAAATAATTAATATGGGAACATGTAGAGGTGAGCAGGGACATGACCCAGCGTGCAGTTTACAGGAGGCAGATGCAAACGGAGGCAAAGATGCAGAGCATCATGTGGCTTTGGCTCACCCACAGGACTTCTGCCGGTCTAGGTAAAAAGCTACTGTTATTAGCAAAGGCAGCCTTGCCACCTCCTGGTTACAATGTCCCCAGGGTCTTGGGGTGAAATCATCCCACTTGTGCTCCTTTTGCCCCTTGCTCTTGCTGATGTAGGGTTAACGTTTAATCCGCACACCTATAAATGAATCTTCTTTTACTTGACACTGGGAGCAGGCCATAGAGATTAGGGAAAGATGATGGTTTGGTGCTTTCAGACCAGTGTTTATTTTTTGGCTGTTTATTGGACTTCAGACGTGTTTAGTTATGGCTCTTGAATGCTGTTTTTTAGTTTCTTCATAAGTCTTATCCATCTTGATCAAAAACTCATTGTTTTCTATGTATTTATCTCCATTTCTCCTCACCATTAAAATGGAACTTCCACAAAAACAGGAAATTTGTCTCTTTTGTTCATTTTTATTATTCTGTGGCTAAAACATTGCCAGACACGTATTATGCGCGAAATAAATATTTGTTTAAACCATTCACTAATGAAGAGGCAGTGAGCCTCATCAAGTATGACACTAGAATAAATAGAAAATTATCTGATGAGTTTCAAGTTTCACTTCAGTGAGTACCATTAAATTAATTGTACCGCATGTGCAATGCTGTATAATAAGCATCTCCAGAAGGGTCACTCTCAAACTCCACCATGCATCACCATCATTTGCTGAAGTTGTTAAAAGTGCAGATCCTCCTAGGAAGCCTTCATTACAGACCCTGCTTCAGTATCTCTGGAGAACATCCTCCAACTCACTCTATCATCATTTAATAAGTGGTCTGAGTAAGGTGGTCAAACTGCCATTTCAAGTCAGGCTCCAGAGCTACGACTCTGACTTCACTATTTTATATTCTTGTTTCAAACTCCAGTCGGAAATTTTCTTCTCTCATGGCAGATAAAGCTTTGGAAAAACAAAGCACCATTTAGTTAATCATAATGCCCTAGCCAATATGTTAAAGTCTTTCAGTAACCTTTGGTGACAACATAGTTTTAACTCTTCAATTCTACTTTACACTTTTATTGTTGTTTTACCACTTGCAAAATTTTATATAAAGCACTTTTTTATATCTACAATAGAGTTTTTTTTCTTTTAAATAATATCTCTAAAATACATAACTATTTCATGCTACATAGCAAAAAATATAGTACATGGTATCATTTTGAAGAAAAAATTTAGATGCTTAAGGCTGACATTACATGAAGACTTGGACCTTCACTTTAAATGTGTTCAAATTGTAAACCATAAGAAACATTTCATAATCTGTTGTTGTGAGTATTAGATCAAAAATCCAAAGAGGCATATTTGTATACAAGCTGGGATTACACTTTTTAACAGAACATAACATTGATAACAAAACTCATGACTTCATGGGTAGGCCCTGTTGTGAGAAATGATTATTACAGGTACCTGAACTTCACTTGGCTGTTGTGTTGATTTTCTATCTAAAGAGAAGTGCCTTACAGTAATTTCAACAGTTTCTGTATTCATAATAGGAATATACTTTTTAGTAGATACTTTGATGACTCTTTTTGCAATGTTTGCAAAGAAAATAAAAGAAAAAATATGTGAATTTGTCCTCGCCTGCTAAACATTTGCCTTGGAGTCATGGGAAATTTACTCTACCATTACTGCTGTCCCTATATCAAGGGATGGTAGGAATACATTAGAGTAGTAACAGGGCCTGAGGTCTACCATCTGTTCTCAGGAGGATATATAGTAATGAGCTCAAAGCCTGTGTATAGCATTCCATACATGTCCTTTTTGAATCTAATCCAAAAAATATTTAGTTTCTAAGAACAGGAAAAGGGATGTAATTATAATGTAAACACATCCATAGAAACATATGGCATAGTGGACCCTGACATGAATGGTCTGTTGTCTGTCCTCATCTGATTAAACCCAGTAGCAGCTTTTTCACAACAGACTTTTAATAGCAGCTATGCACTGACAATACCCACGTCTCCAGCCCCTACCTCATGTAGGCAAACCCCATATTAGATTCCAATATCCAATGAAGTAAGCAATTGACCTATTTTGAAAACCATTTTAAGGAATCCAAATCCTCATTTTTTCTCTCTGCAAGTTTATATTCATCTACAACTGGTACTAACTGGTACTTACATAGCATTTAAAGGCAACTGACAGGTAAAATAATGATGTAGAGTGTATGTGGAATATGTTATGTGGATAAGCAATTTGGAGAAATAAAATTCAAATTATTTGATGACCTATGTCAATGACATGAAATATAAAGATTTGCTCAGAATTATAAAAAAGCTGACATTAAATCTATATAAATAAGTTTGAATTAATGTCAATAATAATGAATGCTTATGGGGCTGGGGTTTTGGCTCAGCAGTAGAGCGCTTACTTCACACATGTGAGGCACTGGGTTGGATCCTCAGTACTGTTAGAGTCTGTAAACAAGTCAGGATGGCGCCTGGCAAATGTTAGAGTCTGTAAACAAGTCAGGATGGCGCCTGGCATTTTGCCAGAGGGAGTGGTTTGTGAAGTAACGCCAGCAAGCCATTAAGTGTGGAGATTTCTTATTGGTTGACTGCTGTATCTAGTTTATGCTAATTAAGATAAGCTGTGTGGAATGTATAAATACCTCTGTTGTCCTACAATAAACGGCTTCCACTCCTGCTGTATCAATGTACACAAGTTGTTCCTCACCCCCCGTTATTTTGCTGCAGCCGGACTGCAGCACAGTACCACATAAACATAAATCAACAAATTAAAGGTATTTGTCCATCTACAACTTTAAAAAAAGTGAATGCTTGCATAATATTTTTAAGTTTGCAAGTATGTGCTAAACATCCTTATTTATCTCCTCCTTTCGAATAAAGGAATTCTTTATGCCTAGTCTTGAAAAATAAGTATTGCAGACATGAAACCTTTAAATTTGTAGTTTCACTTTCTCTTGGATTTATAATATTGAAAGGATTTGATAATATCCAATACAAGTGAATTATCAAGTTATTAATGATTTGTCTGACACACATTTAATTAACTGAATTAATAATGAACAGTGGCATTACACAGGCTATCCAATTCATTTACTATATATTAATATGCTGGTTAACACTTAAGAAAAGTGGCCAGTCATTATCAATGTATCTTTGTGCATTGTGTGAACATTAATCAGATCAAATTAATGTGGTGTTACTTTTAACTTAAGCAGGCATTAATGAATGCTTCATCATTTCAAAATGTTGCCACAACATATCAAAAGCTTAACTTAATATTTAGCATAAAAATGTTCATTTAAGACTCATGTTAATGAGAACTTTGTTTTTCTTTTATCACAAGTATAAAGACCAGCAGTATAAAGTCTCTTAAAATTTATTTAACTGTATAACAGAACCACCTTCAAAGTTGCATTTGTTAAGAATACTTCTGCATTCAAAGCTATGGAAATTCTTTTCACCTTCCACTTTTAGTCAGTAGATCAGTTCATTTCTATTAAGAGACAGAAATATGACTTCATATTAATGATGGAATCAAAACAGATGGAGCTATCTAATGGTTCAGGCAGGAAATTAGAGTAGGAATTATAGCTTCTTACCCTTATATCTACCACTGATTCACTGAATGACCTTGGGCAAATTACTTAAGCTGCCAGGTCAAATTTTCTAAGTGCACATCTTTTTTTTTTTCCCCCCTCTATGCCCAGAGCTCGTATTAAGAGAAAAGGAAACTCTAGAGATATAGAAAAAGGAAATGATATAATATAGAGAGGAGGAAAAAGCCTTTGGCATAAAAGAGATTAAGTGGCTTACCCAAAATTTCACATTCAGCGTGGCCTACCGGGGATTCAGATACAAGTGTGTGACTCAGTGTACCTCGATTTCCAATTTTTAGTATTAACACAAAAGCGACTTTGTGGGTTATAAAAGTGTGAGCTTAGAGTTGCCTGGAATATCATAGATATTTAATTGATGTAGCTTATCTTTATTCTCTTCTCCAGCAACCAATGTTACTAATTGCTTTTCTTAAAACAATTAGCAGATGTGTCTGTTGAATCCAGACCTTGCTGTTATAATTCCTGGGTTTAGCTGTTCTCACCAAGGCGCTCATCAATTCACAAAGGTTCTCACTGGTTTCCCACTCACTTCATCCTGTGCTACATACAGCACACCTCTGATGTCTGGACCACAGTGAAAGGATATGCAGGACACCAACAGGGCCCTGAGCCAGCTCCTGATACCATCAGCATTTACCTGTCATGCAAAATAACAGCCTCCAAAGGAGAGGGAGTGTCCTGGTATCTTTCCTCTATCTTCTTACTGCCCAAATTCATTAAAATAACAGCACGCTGATTCTACCTCTAATATATATGTTATCTGACTCTGTTCTTAAATTTCCATCTAAGCTGACATTTCTGTAATTAGAACAATATTATTTCTTAGGAACTTTTTGGCCAGTCTCCTAGTGGCTGATGTTTTCTCCTCAAATGCTTCACATTACTTACATGATGTTCCTGTGACCTTTGAACCTACTTTAGCCTTGCATATTCATCTCAAGCCGGCCTGAACTTCTCATTTCCTGAACACACATAGCACCCCTAGATCTTCACCTATACCTCTCCCTCTCACTTTCCAACTGCACTGAGTTCTCACATGCCCAAGGCACATGAACAAGTCTTTCTTCCTATGAAGTAAAACCTCTTTATCTATCACTACAGTTACATTTATTCCATTGTTTTGGAAATTATGAGTTTTTAATTTATTTTTTCTATCTTATTTTCTCTTTTAGATACAATTTACATTAAATTTCAAATTACATTAAATTTCAAATTACATTAAATTTCAAATAAAAAAAATGTTTCAGATGGAGTTAATCAGGCAAAGAAGACTCAATTCAAGTCTAATGTAATAGGGGTGGGATTGATGTGAGTTGTGTTGCAACATAAATATGGGACATTTTGCAAGTGCTGGGATGAGATAGTGGGAAAGAACTGAAGGACATTAGGGGACAGGTTGGTCAGTCAGGCCACCTGTTCTTTGGCCTTGGTGCCCATAGGAGTGCGATTACTACCCTTGTGCAGAGACAGAGAGAGAGGGACACCACTTCCTCTGTGATTCTATTTCACAGGATGGCTCCCAAGTCCTTGAAAAGGCCATTTCTGGGTTGTAAAACTAGCAAGATGTGGGGAGATTTACATTCCAAGGGGGCATAGAAAGAATTTACAATTAGAAGTTTTCTAAAGTAAATGCTCTAAGAAAACAGGTCAGGGCCTGTCACCAGGAAGAAACCTGTTAGTCAATCTGAGAGGGACATTAAGGCCATGTAGGTCAATATTGAGAACTGCAGATTCTGAGACATACTAAACACTCTATAAATTTTACTTGCTGTTATGTTTTATAATGTCTGACAGGATGTTCTGGACATTTTTTTATTTTTTGTTTAAATCCAAGAATTATGCTTGTCTCACCATAGATGCACCTGAGTACCAGATCCTGGGCAGAATAGGTATAATTTTCTTTTCTTTAGTTCACTTGCTTGGGTGCTGATAAACACCATTCTGTTTTCCCTCATCATCCCTGTTGTTTTGTTTGTAGGTTCTAGCACCTAATTGCCCTTATTTTGGCTTTAACAAAAGGTACTCAATCCCTTGTTTATCCAAGGACCAAACCTATTCCATGCTCCATTGGGGCAGGGATAAGTCTTACTTCCTAGGAAGTAAAACCTCTTAATGGAAGAGGGGCCACTCTCATGCTGACATGACAAGTTTTCTCTCAATCTTACCATAAGAAATAAACTGAATGATTACCATTCATGGGCTAAATATGATGGCATCCTTTAAGCATGTGCACTTAGATATAGGTGCACACACCTGCACACATGCTGTGTACAATGGAGGTAAAGTTGAGAAGAGCTTCAGAGGAGCAGGGAGTGACCATTGCGGACCATTTGAATACGTGAGTGTTCATAGTTCATTACTTCATAATTGCCCAGGGTCACTGTACCACTGGGTTGTACTCCCAGCAATTTTAATTTTTTTTTTTTGAGACAGGTTCTCCCTAAGTTGCTCAGCCTGACCGTGAATTTGCTATTTTTCTGCCTCAGCCTCTCAGAAAGCTGGGATTACAGATGCGCATCACCATGCCAAGTCAATACTACTATTTGTTATGTATCATACATAAGATAAGGATATGTATGTACAATTAGGTTTTAAATCATTTATTCTATTTAAGAATCTTAGTTTTAAATAGCATATAGGACACTTTCAGGCTCAAACTTGCTACATAAGAGCTTGGAAATCCTTTTTACCAATCTTTCCATGGGAAATAAACTGAATGAACTGAATATCAGTAACTAGTCTTGGACCCATCAGAGAAGAGAGGTCACAAGGTCAGCTGCTATCCTGGGCTCTAGAGAGAGAGAAGAATCCAGAGAGTCACAACCTGGAGAAGAGGTTGTTGGATCCATTAACCAGCAGAAGAACTGGAATGGTAATCTTGAAGAATTCCTAGAGGCTGAGTGCAGATTAGCGTGAGGATGAGGAACCACTGAGGACCCATGTTAGTCTGCTTTGTCACCAGAAGTTCTGCCATGTTTTTATCGTGATGATAAAAGAAAGATGTGTTCCACCTCAGAGGAGGGAGGAAAGGAGTGATCTTTGTGAATCACCCATGTATTTGCTATAACAAAGACCTACTCTTTGTCTCCCTCTACCTTGTTCCACCTTTCTTTCTAATCCCATTGTAAGGGTAAAAGAAATTGAAGTTAAAGTGTAAAAGACCAGGCATTGTAAAGTTTCTCAGCTGCAAGGCCTGAGTTAAAATGTAAAGGACCAGGTATTGTTAAGTTCCTATGCTACATGCAAAACCTGAAATTCCTGTAGCTGTTAAGACAATACTCGAACTGCCCAGTAAATATTCCCCCTGACCGCCTGGTTGTTTAATAACTTAGGGCCCTGTGTGGCCTTGCACGTAGGCATCGCAGGGCCTGGACCAATCAGTTTGAATGTGTACCCTGCTTTAGAACTGACCTATCACCCCCGCCCTACCTGTTCCCACCAATGAATGAACTAATCATGTCTCAGAATTGTTGTTTGATTTTCCCGCGGTGTATGATGATTTGTTAAAGGAGACTGTGATGTATGTAAAGTCCCGCCCTCCCCAAAAAGTGTACTTAAGCATTGCACAACCCCTGCTCTGGGCTCTGGGCTGCTCTCCTTTCTTGAGTGAGCACGGAGCCCCAGCGCTCTGGATTGGATCCTCAATAAATAAACCCCCTTTTGCTGTTGCATGAGCCGCGGTCTCTTGGTGGTCTCTCCCTCCGACGTTCGCCGGACCCTTACACCATCTGAAGAAGAGAGTTAAGAAACACTCGTGAGGCCGCAATAAAGCAACGCGGGCTCAGTGTGTGGTCACAATAAGGTGACCCAGGCTCACTAACAGACTGAAATTTAATCATAATTAAAGAATGTTTCTGGTACCCCTGTCCTTACCACCATGGCCACAAGCTTTCAATCTAATGAGAAAGGATCATGCCAAAAGAGGGGCAGGACATAGATTCTCTCTCAACACATCTGCTTACAGAAGATAAAGGCCACAGAGAGGCAAACACAAGGACAGCCAAAGAAATTAAAGCCTCCATAACTAGAGTTCTGGCAGCATAAAGTACAGTCTGACTTGTTGCCAAGTTAATTTAAAACCCCACACTAAGGGCTTATATCCTCATTTTTCCACTTCCTGACTCATTATGTCCAACCTCCAACATAACAATTGCAAACCATGCTAAAGACAGAAAAAAGAAGGAAAAGAAAACCCAAGGGGAGAAAGTGTGTACCAGAACCTGATTCAGATATGGTGGAGATTTTGGAGTTATCATACTTATTAAAATAAAAAAGGAGCCAAGGCAGGATGAAAGACCCTTATCCACAGAGGAAACTAGTTATTAAAATAATTATAATTAACAAAACATAATTATTAAAGTAACTATGATAATATTAAGGGCTCCAATGGCAAAAAAAAAAAAAATAGACCATGTGTAAGAACAGGGTTTTAGGCAGCTTTTTCGCTGCTGTGACTAAAAGGACCTAATCAGAAAATCGATAGAGGTCGAAGAGGTTATTTGGGGACTCACAGTTTCAGAAGTGTCAATCCATAGACAGCAGACTACATTCTTAGGGGCTCAAGGTGAGGCTGAACTTCATGGAAGAAGAGTCTGGCAGAGGGAAGCAGCTCACAGGATGATCAGGAAGCAGAGAAAGAGATTCCGCTCTCCAGATACAAAATATATACCATAAACCCGTGGCCCCAATGCCCACCTCCTCCAGCCACATCCTTCCAGCCTTCCGTTAATTCCTATCAGGGGATTAAAGTACTGATTGGGTTAGGACTCTCACAACCTAATCATTTCTTCTCTGAACCTTCTTGCATTGTCTCACACATGAGCTTTTGGGGGACACCTTACATGTAAACCATAACAGACAGATGGTAGTTTAAACAGAGAAAGTGAATCTCTAACAACAACAACAACAACAAAAATCAAAAGAAAATGCTAGAAATAATAACAACACAATACCTTAAATAGAAATGAAGAATGCCTTTGATGGGGTCACCCACAGTAGACTGAACTCAGCTAAGAGAACTCAGTGAATGTAAAGCAAAGTAAATAGATTGTTCCCAAATTAAAATACAAATAGAAGATAAAGAATAAAAACACTAGAGTCAAACACATGGGAACTGTGGGAAATTGTGCAATTTATAAGAATGCATACTTGGAAAACCACAGTGGAAGAAAAAAGAAATACTAAAGTAATTATGGCTGAGAAGTTTCCAAAATTTGCATTAGATACTGAACTAGGAATCCAGGAAGCACTGAGGAAAACAAACAGGGTAACACCAAGCAAACACACCTGGGTTTGTCATATCTGACCTGCAGGGAAAGATAAACAAGGAAACTTTAGAAAGCAGCCTAGCGGGACAAAAGACTCTTAGTCACAGAGGAACAGAGATAGGAGTTAGAATGCAAACCAACTGTGCAAGCAAGAAAAAATGGAGCATATCTTAAATATTTAAACTGAAAGAAATCTCCTACCCAGAAATCTATATAGAGTGAAATTACACTTTGAGACTGAAATAAATACTTTCTCAGGCCAAGAGAAACTGAAGAAATGCATTGCTCCCAGAGCACCCCTGTGAGAAATGTCAAGTGTCTATAGTGAGAAGGGAAATGACCCCACTTAATATAATGTGTATTTACAAGCGTTGTCCGAGGTGGTACTACAGGTGTGGTCACTGCTACTGGGTGTGCATACTGAGAGGTTCTAATGGAAATTTGACGTGATTTTAAGGAACACACAAAACATAGTGTAAGAAGGAGTGGTTAGTGGAATTAAGTAGAACACTTAGTGGATTTAAGAGCTTTGATGATTGATTCCAGAAGTTCAGTGATGAAGCAGGAATACTAGAGATGGGGCAAATGAGAACAAGGAGGACTTCTCAATCGTATTTCCCCACTTGTACTACCAGCATCCTATTCATGAAAAGAGTAGGAATGAAAATTATCTAATGTTGAGTTCTTATTTTGAATCTGAAGTTGGAGTGAGATCCAGTTTTGACACTATTGTTCCAACATTGTTTCTACTTAAATATGAAGAGAGCAGGACACATCCATTGGATAGTTTATGGAAGGTCCTACAGTTTGAGATAGACAATTAAAATACAGCAGAAAGAAGAAATCAATGTAAAATCATGTTTGTAATTGAAATAGACAAAACCCTCTTTGGCCTAATGAATAAAAAAAATAAATAAAAGTAGAGAAAGCTAGAAAAGTGAAAGTAGGGATGAATCAAGTAAAACAAAATCCAAAAATTATAATCTAAACTACTTGCAATTTAAAAAAACTAATCAAAAAGTCTAAAAAAATGAACAATCTCTAATATAAAAAATAAATTGCCAAAATATCTTTAAGAAGATATAAAACAGAATATTTCAATTGCCATAGTAAAAAATGTTAAAAAATTAAAATTAAAAACAACAAAGAAAATGTAACAGTTGAATTTGATCTACTTTTGGAAAACATTACATTTCTGTAATCTAAATAATTGAAGAGATGTAGAAGAAGATGAAAATTTTACCAATTAATTTATAAAACCAACAGAGCATAAGATTATATCAATTGAGGAGAAAAAGGAATTTAATAAAGCTCAAATGTCATTTCTAATGGAGCTCTAAAAATAAGAACAAATGTTATGCTATTTAAATGCAATAAAGATGAGTTAACAAAATTGAATAGCAAATATCATTTTAAATAGAAAAGCACTAAAATAATTAAGTTAATATAAAAATTTCTTTTACTGTCATTGTTGTTAGTATTTGGGGAAGGGGTGTTCTAATAAATGCTTAAGTTAAAGGAAATATATAACCAGAGAACACATTAGAAAACAGTAGCTACAGCTCTGTATTTAGTGATGATATAATTTTATGATTTGAAAACTTAAAGATAACTTTTTTAAAAAGTAAAATAATGAACAATAAGATTCTATGTGGGCATCTGGACCCAATACTTACTCTCCATTATAACAAAAAGCGTCAAGAAATATAAATGAGAGAAAGAATTCAGCTCAGAGACCAAAAAGTTTGTGTATTTTACATAAAAATAACCTTTTAAAAAAGCATAGACTTTATATGAAGAAAATCATAATATTTGTTGAATACCTTTGTATTTATCAGCTTGATGTCACTATGACAAAATACTTGAGATCATCAGCTGAAAAGGAGGAAAGATTGGCTCAAGGTTTCAGAAATGTTAGTCCATGATCAGTTGATGCTATTATTTTTGAGCCTGTGTGTTAGGGTACAACATGGTGATAAGCTTGTGGAAGAGCAGAGCTGCCACGTCATATTCAGAAATCACAAAGAGAGAGAAAGAATGGGGACCAGATTCCAAAATCTTCATCAAAGCCATGCCCCCATGGCCTACTTTTCTTTCTAGGCCCTGCCTCCTGAAGTTGGCACCATTTGCCAGTATGACCACCGTTGGGGCATGAAGAATTTAGTTCCTGAGCCCTTGGGGGAATACCCAAGATCTAAACCCTAACAACCCTAGAACTTGCCGTTTTGTCTTCCTGATCTGCCTGTCCCCTAGCTCTGCTTCATCTGCTATAGGTCGCCCACTTGCTGCCTACAGGGTTGTCTTCTTTCCAGATCCTTAGTTAACTGACTTTGAGTTCACATCCCCTGGAGTCAGGAGTGACCATATCTGGGAACATGCCCACGGAGAGGGAGGGACCAAGGTCCAGGCCCTGGCTCTGTCCAAGCTAGTGACTTGGAGAAGGAAACAAGGACCAGCAGCAGGTATCCCAGGGTGTGCCCCACCCCTCCCGCATCCGGAGGGCCTTTCTTCAAATGTGATTTAAAAGTCTTTGAAAAGAAAAGTTTGGAAGGAAAAATTCCTATAGAATTTAGTATATAATTCGCCAGTCTTGAGAGTTTAGGGAGAGCTTTCCAAAAAGTGGACATCTAGAACAGCAGGGTCACTGTGTCTCCTTTCACCCTCTCACTGAAGTAGGATTTAAAATTGCCATGATGTCACTCTGTGGGCACCTAGAGATTTACAGTATTGATGTTTCACATCCTATAGTGCCCACGGGGACAGACAGTGACCCTCCAGGTTGATATGTGAAGATGGGGTAGAGATGGTTATATTCCCTTCCTCAGTACATTCTCCATATCTGTGACCCACTCCTCAAAAAGAGAAAGAAAACACAATCTGAACTAGTTCCTAACCATTGGAGTTCTCCTAGAATCTGGTCATTGTGTATTTTTGTTTGTTTCTACATTTATTTTTTTTAGTTATAGGTGGACACAATATCTTTATTTTGTATTTATGCAGTGCTGAGGATTGAACCCAGTGCCTCACGCATGCTAGGCGAGCACTCTACCTCTGAGCCACAACCCCAGTCCCTGTTTCTACATTTCTTAAGCAACATTTCCCATTCTGGTTTAATTTTTTCTGGAAGTTGAGTATGAAACAGAAACAAACAGAAACAAACAGAAAACAAAACATAAAATGTTTTTTGTTATAGATATTAATTATTTTATAGTTTCCATTAATTGGTTTATATAACAATATAATTTCAGAATGTAGAAAATATCTCAGAGACTCTTTGCAGAAAAACTGAACATGTATAGACTTTCCATCAATTTTGACTATTGAATTTGATATATTGCACAATAGCAGTATGTGCAAATAGTAGTATTGGATGTTTTGCATATCAGTAGACATGAGTTGTAATTTGAAGTGACTTTTGCTTTTACTTTTTGGGGATTTTGCATTTCTAGCATTTTCTGTTTATCTGCCCCATGGTGATGCAACTCATTGTAGCTAGTTTTTGCTTTTTACTTTGAAATGCCCAGCTGATGATTTTCCTGTTGATACTACTATTGTTAGGAATCTTGCATTAGCCTTACTAACCACTTCAGTACTGGCCTTTGGCTATATTGTCTACAGAGATGTCAGGTGGCCATGCATTCTGCATTAATGGGTGATACAGTCTATTAGCTTCCAGTCTTTCTGAGGTTAGCTGAATGTTCCAGGCAGACTTTAAACAAAACAAATTTATTGATTTCGTACAGAGCTTTATTGCTTGGATCAGTGCTGAACTGCCCTTGAACATTTTTATCTGTTAATGCAGTTATTCATTTTTGCTCTTTACTTTCCTGTTGATTGCAGAATATTTCATTGTCTGTGAATATTATATTTGGTTATGTGGCATTCTCGCTTGTAAAATATCCTGTATTAAATTGGACTTATGCTCAATGAATGTAGTTGTTAAAACTACAATAAGATACAATACAGTACACATTGATAAACATGCATTGATAGAAAAAATAAAAATGATAATATGTTAGTTTTCCATTGCTGTAACCAAAGTACCTGACAATATAATGCTTATTATATTTTTAATGTAGAACTATAAAAATTTAAGTGATAAGCACCAAGATAAATGAAATGCAAATATTATATTTACCTAATTATCTCAGCAGGGGGCTCCTCTAAATTTCAGGTTGAATATTTGGGAGGAAAGTTTGAAAGTAATAAATTGGTTCTCCATATTGATATATAAGTGCAACAATATTTACTTAATTATTTTAAGAAGATGATAGATTTGTTTGTGGTAATATAATTTTCCAAATTCTTTTAAAGTAATTTACATTTTTAAGTCTCTAAAAGGCTTTTTTTAAATCAATTTCATTGCCCCTTGATGTAACTATGCCTGTGAATCTATAGTTATACATCCGGTATCATATATTTTCTATGCTCCCAGAGATAAATTTTATTTGTATGCAGATGATGAATCTTAGAGAAATAAAACATGAACTTTTAACATCATCTAGTCATTGTCTTGAATGACAATCTAAAAACTTGATCATCAAGAAGAGAAAATAAAATCATTTAAAACCAAAAGTCAATCCAGTTCCACAACAAACTTCAGAGGCTGAGTATATTACAAGCTATTTCCATTTAGGGAGGGACAAAATCCTATACCATCATTTGGAGTCCACAAGGAGCCAGGGGAACACTATACAGGAAAAAGAAAAAAAAGAAAAAGAAAATATATATATATACACACACACACACAGACCCTTAACATGCTAAAACATAGATA